AAAAGATCGACACAACGCTGCTAGACAAAAGACTAAAAATAAGATGATAATTAGCAACTCTCTAAGTGTGTCCTTTGCCCTTATCCAACCTCGAACTACCTGGCCCTGAGATGCATACTATAGTCAGCTTATAAAGCTCAGTGAGTTCATGGTTTGCATGAATAAAATCATATCTTGACATATATATGGCATATATGCATGCTTTATAATAAAAGTCTCAGCTTTAAAATATATATATATATATATATATATATATATATTTAAAACACTGAAAATAAGAGATCTCAAAATGTTTAGTCGGATATGGGTCATTTAGTTACAAACACGCTCTGGGTTGATATTTCAATCTTAATTGATCACCCACTTGTCCGGGTAGTGTTTTATACTGGTCGTAACTTACTGGTCAAATGCCCACCCTTGAATCATAAAACTTTAATATGGAATAGCATGCTAGAGTTATTYGAAAACTGATAAAACACATAGCATGCAACCATTCACAAAATAACATACATGTAAAATATATCATAACATGTGTGTAATTGAGATATCATGCACACGTACACATCATCAACAATCCATATCATGCAAAAATAATTTGTACTTAGGTATGCATCTCAGTGAAATCTCATGAGGACTCACCTGATAACGAAGGTTGCTTAACTAACGTCGCTGACTGGTAACCTACAATTTATAATAGCGAATAGCATATAAATGATTAATTTCTCCCAAAGGCTAACATAAAAGTCAACTTACTGTCAACTACGTCGACTAGGGTTAACCTTGGTCAACTATGCTTAAAAACGCTCCTCACATCAATTAAAATTATAGGAACCGTGAGTTCCGACATAAAGTGTATCGTCTAGCTAATAATTACATATTTCGAGTTAAGTTATTAAGTTGTCTATTATATGATAGACATGTTAATAATTACATATTTCGAGTTAAAAGCGTCCTAATAAATTTACCACTCGAGTAACACTTCGTATAGTCAATAATTTATTCTATAACTCTATAGCATCATCTTTTATAAAATAAAGGTCTAGACGATATATATATATAAACTCAAGAGCTACGCTTTAATCTCATAAAAAAATCGTCGAATTATTTAAATGAATCATTCTAATTATCTCCAAATAATTACATAGTTAACGTAGTAAATTTCAACCTTGACAGTATTTTTATTTTTATTTTTTTATAAAGCTAAATGGTCTCATATTGCTCAAAATACACACTCTTTAATTTTAGAGGTATTTTGGTAATTTCATAAAATCGAAAAAATAATAATAATAAAATAAAGTTGAAATCTATACATCTAAAAATTTAAAGAATTTTCTGGAGTTAAGAAAATTTAAAAGTTAAGTTTAGTTTCCTAAATAATGGGTTAAAATAAAAATTTATTAAGAAAGTTAGTAAATTATTAGATATAAGAAATTTCTAATCTTAATTAACATGAAAAAGTTTCCTATCAAAGTGGTTAATGCATATTTTTTTCAACAAAAGGTCATGGGTTCGACCCCTACTTTCAACATATACCTACATTTAACTTTTTAATGGGTCAAAACCCCAACACACCCACAGCAGTCATGGCTGCGTTTTTTTCACCCTTTCAACCTTCGATTTAACCCGTTTTTTCATCTTTTTTCTTCATTCTTTTTATGCTAAAACTTTGGTAATATTTTTATCAACATTTTGACATAA